GTGGGCTGGATATTTGTGGTTTGGGTGTTTGTGGTTAAGTCTTATTAGGTTGGATTAATAAATGAATCAATAACAAAAAATGTTGGATCATGTGGACCTAATTTGTAGGTCATGATAATCAGAAAATATATGATATATTTTTGTTCTAACCACGACGTGCTCCTGTAGAGATGTGGGCTGGATATTTGTGGTCTGGGTATCCTGTGTGTATTTTATAGCAATTAAAAAAAGATTATTATTGTGGGTATACCAAACCAGCTGTGTCCTACGTAATATCCATTTATGTTATGTTATATTTAAGTATCTTAAACCGCTTACACCATATAATTATATCCGGATAAATTTAACTTCGCATGCTGTGACTCATGAATAGAATGTTTCATAATTTTTACTTTTATTTTTTAGTTTTAGATGATTTGTCTGGTTACTTTAAGAACACAATGTCACCTTAGATTGTGATCATACAACAATTTTTAAGCGCTCTCATAAAATGTGGAATATATATTGGCACCACACGTTGCTCTGTTTGCCAGTTTGTCCGATCCACAATTGCCCTTAAACACTCTTAAAGGAACAATTCTTGGAAATTTTAGACAAGGTTGATGAAATTTTTTTTTATCACCCTAAGGATAAACTCTATCGAAAGTCTAAAAATGTGAAAATATTTAATACGAGTTTTTGTCTTGTTCTTTGAAACTGTTCCAATACTTTTATCTCTTAAAATATATGGTACAATTCTTGATTTGGACAAAACTTATTTAATTTATTAATTATCACCCAAGCATGAACTCTACCGAATATAAAAAAAATTGAAGATATCTAATAATGAGTTTTTGGTCTAGTTCTGTGAATTGCAAGTGAATTTTAGTTCTGATAGAAACCTATGCAAAAAGGTTGACTATTTTTGCTAGTGGTGGTTGCCATTTTGCCAAATGTTCTAATTAAAATAATCCCCAAGTGAGCATAGGTTACCTTGCCTGGCAAGCTATCTTTTCATACCACTTGGAAATGTTGTGTGGTGGCTCAGTGAGTTAGTAGCTTGCTCCCAAATCTGTAGGTCCAAGATTTGACCCTAGTGATGCAGGTTGGAGGGGCTGACATGAAAAAAGTATTGAGTTGTTCGGATGGGACATTACACGGAGATTTGTGCAGGCTTTGCACGTTGAAGATCCCTTAAAAAAGAGCAAGCTAATGCCGCTGTCCTGGCAAAATTTCCCTCATTGCACACTGTATGGCATTGCCCGTCTTCATTAGCCAAATTAGGTATGATGGTTTCTGTACACCCGCTCAAAGTTTGTAACCTCTGCATGAGGATGTTGTTTTGGTTAAACTGTCTACCCACCTTCATATTGAACTATACAATATAACCATCAGGCATTGACTAAATGGTTTGACTTTGCTATGATGAAATCTAAAAATAAGACATCCCACCTAATGTTTCTTGCAACCAGTGGAAAATGTCAATGTAGTAAATACCTTGATGTAGCTTGAAGCATCAGCAAGGTTTTAAAGGCTATGGTTCACGATTTTGGGGGGGTGATTTGGTTTGAATATATGCAAATGGTCTTTAGAAGTACCAGAAATGTATGAAAATATTTCACTTCCTGTTTCTTCATATATCTTTTCTATATCAAGCGCAAAAAAAGAGGAGTCATCATTTTAACTTTCAAATGCTGACAATTCTGATCACAAATGTATTTCAAGGCTTTAATTTTGACTGTGACCTGTGAACACTATTATTAATTAGCTTAGCTAAATACTTCCTGTTTCTGAGGTATTATTGTTTAAACAAATGGCGAATCTGTCCCTTTAAGAGCCAGGAGCAGACATCTCTTTTCTTAAAAGTAAAATTTCTTTTCAATAAGCCTGCTGATGGTAATTTTCCATGGAGTTGTATTCATTTTTTTTAATTGTCTCCTATAGGTGCCAGTTAGTTAAAAATGGTCGGGACTTTATATGGGATTTGTGAGAGAATGAGTTTGAACTGAATGCATTCATCAATGTTCTCATATTAAAATGTCTGTCTTTAATAATGGTTGAGGTATAATGAGCGCATTAAATTGCGATAGTCTAGAAATTTCAAGATAAAACTGTATTTTTTTGTGTATACAAGTCACCTCTTAAAACATTAGTAAATGAAGGGGGAACTTGATGATGGGGAGAAAGGGGCAAGGTGGTTTACCCTGTCATACTTCATAGCTTGAAACTAAGACAAATGATGCTTTATTCTATTCAGAATTAACGCTTTCGACTCTGGTGGCCGGTAAAGTGCCATTATCAAGACACATCACACAACAGGAACGTCATACATTTCAAGTTATAGTACTTTAAGTTCAAGGTATATGATGTTTTGTTTTTCTCCAAATCTGAATAGATATAGGGATTATAAAGAGGTTGTCTGCACTTTATTTGTATTAAAGGAACACTGTTAGAATCAATTTGCACCATTCCAATTTTCAATCAGTTTCACTGATAAGAAGTTCAGAAAACCTCTTCAGAATCCCTCTAAATGCAGACAATGATATTACATAATGGTTTGAATAGTGTGAGAAGAGATCATGTTTCTTGCATCATCACTCCAGACAAAATGTAATATCGACATTATAAATTTTCATTCATTAATGACTACATTATTATATTGTCTTTATAGGGTTGTAACAGCCAAATTGAATGGATAAAATTTAAACCTATTAATGTTTTGTTGATAAGAAAGCTATTTTTATTATGTCTGGATGAAATAAGGATGTAATGGTTAAAGGTTAACTGTCTTTTGAAATTTGTCAGAAAACCAAAATTTGCTCATTATTTTTAGGAAATTGGCAAATCAGCTTCAAAAGAGTGATGTTAGCCTTAGAATGACTTTGTTGATAAAAATGTCTCTATTCAATCCATTTTAAAGATTGAAAACTGGCATTATGACATACGCAGTTCTTTATAGCCTTGACCATCTCATCTTCACCATATCAAGCTATTATGAACTTCATGTTATACCTGGACTGCAATAGTCACCTTTCTTGTTTCACATAATGCAGCGATTTGAATGGATTGTACGCTAGCTAATACAGTCAATCAGAGCCTTTTAGCCCTAAAGACTGTAAACATTATGGCTTAGTGTTTACAGATTATTTGTCATTGCAGTCAAGGTATAAGACCAAATTCCTAATAGATTAAAATAGTGAAGATGTGACCATCCATGATACTGATAATGTTGGTAGGGGTGGCCTGGACAAAATATAAAATGAAAGTAAACCAGCATTTTACAACATTACCTTGTCCTGTTTTGGGCACATTTTTTTCTTGTCAAAACTGCAATTTACAAAAGCCCACAAGCCGACACAAGCCATCCTGTACCATGACGGAAAGCCAGGTGTCCACAGAGAATATGTGCTCTCTGCCCATAATAATAGTAGAGGCTTCCAGAGGCCAACGATGACTATCAGCTGCAGTTTGAGATCATGACTTTTAAATTCCTTTTCCTCTTCAGCTGAAGATGTATAATCTAGAACAGGGGTTTTCAACCTTTTTCTTTCTATTACCTCTTTCAGGATCCTTGATCGATTGCATTACCCCCCTTACTCCTATAAATATATTATAATAGCCCTTCACCCTATAAATCCTTCCTATCTCGTGATTTTCTAATAAGTTTTCCCTGCAATATTTTTCATATCGGAGAATGACTGAATAAAAGGACTTAAATTATAATGTTGAAAAATTTTATGCTAGACTAAAAAGCACCTCATTACGCCTCTTAAATCTCAAAATTATCCCATAGGGGTAATTACCACCAGGTTGAACACCCCTGATCGTGAAGATGAGCTACTTATACTGATAAATTAGCTGCAGCAACCTTTAAATAGGTCTGAAAAAGCCTCTTATTGAGTAAATAAAAAAAAAACCAAGAACCATGATCAACAATATATTTTTAAAATTTACATGGATCAACAGTGATCCCATACAACTAAATAATAACTGTCTCAATTACCTCTTACAATCTAATTTCAAATAAAATTGAAACAAATCGTAAAACACCATTAAATTGTGTTAAAAAACACTTAAATTCAATTCAAAACAGTTCAAATTTCACATAACTATAAATTGGTTTGAATTGTAAGATTCTAATTTCCCCTTACAGACTTATCAATACACAATATACTTACTCTCTAGTGAGAAGTTCAGAAAGTCAACAGACTGGAACAAACCAATTTAAAGATATGTATAAGTTTTTATTTGAAGTTCTTAAACAGTCTATACATGGATTTGAATTGGGTGACTCTTTATAAATTCTAATTGTCAATTATCTGCTCATCTGTTTCAAAGTGTTTCAATTGGGATGAATTGCTTGAACATGAGACACATTTCAACTCCTATTATTATCATACAATACGAAGAAGGCTGACAACAAACCTTAGACTGATATTGTGTATAGAGTATAATATAACCTCCCTCTGAAGCAGTGTTCAATTTGAGCGGTATCACATCACAGTTTGCGATTCAAAATGTCTCCATAGTTCCTTTGATAAACCAAAATTTGTATAAAAAATTGTTGAAATTTCGTAAGAATTTTGGCCAATTCAAGAAATATTCTGCAACTCTATAACCTTTGGCAAGATCTTTGAAAGTTTACTATTGGATATCATATTTTTCAGTCTAAATTGAACCGTGCTCTGACTGTTGGACACAGTAAACAATTACTATTAGCAGGTCTTGGCATCTTGGATAGCATATCCTGTCTCGTTAACAAGACCTTGAATTATCTTCTAATTAAGGTGATGGTTAATTGTTTGTACTCTTAGGAATTGGGTGCCAAATGATCTTATATCTAACACCAGGGCTGGAAAACAATTCTACCTGCTAACGTTAAGTCTATCATTCTTTCTTCACCTAAAAATGTGACAATGGGTTAAATAATTATGTGTAAACAACGTTTTTCCTTCAGTAAACTTCTGACACACTGTTAAAAAATGGAGCTACTTTATAACACAATGTTATCTTTACTGTAATTAGCTGTTAGATCTTAGTTTGATAATAATGGGTTTTTGTCTGTGAATCTGTATTTTTTTATACCACCAGCAAAATAATGTTCGTAAGGAATTCCTGAATGATTTGTTAATGGCACAATACAAAACAAAATTAGTTGAGAAATTGAGAGCTTGCATGAAATTGGTCACTGATTTAATGATATCAAATCGGTATTTATCACTAATAGATTGAGATGTATAATATAAAGTAAACTTTAATAATTCACTTGGCGACACAAGAATTAAAAATAGAATAACAACAGAAACTAATGTAGCAGTGACACTATTTAAAGCACTATCAGCAGTTCGGCGTTTGGTGGAGCCACGATGAAACTTTGGAGTGGAATTATTGCTTTCATGTGTTATTGATGGATTACGGGCTGGAATTCCTGGCTTTAACGACGATTCTTTACCAATTGTCTTCTTGAATTTAATTTGCCACTTGATATTCCCATTTTCTGCCTTTGCATTCAACATAGTACATTCGTGACCTGTCATTGGCGCCATATCTTGTCGTAATTTTTTTGCTTTATGAATTTTCCAAATAAGACACGTGTTGAAATAGATAAGAGCAACACAGGGAATGAAATCGAATAATATTGCCCAAATAATACGGCGGGCTGCTATCACATCTTTTGTAAAACTTGGTCGCGTTTGAACAGTATAATACATTTCACCACTCGGGCATTCTATCGCATGAATTTCACTTTCTAAAAATATTGGAATTGTGCAGATTGTACAAATTAAAAATATTCCAAGAACACTTATCCTGGTTCGTTTTAAGGAGATAATATTTCGCGCTTTAAAAGGATGACAAACTGCCATATAACGTTCTCCAGCCATAACTACTATTAACCATGTACTAGTAACTATAAATATGGTTATAAATCCACCACCTAACCAATGATAATATAACACTGTATTGCCTTCGCGGTAATTCTTTTCAAGAGGTAGAAGTGTAAACAATAAGGCAAGTAAACAAAACATAAAATCAGAGAAGGCCAAGGCTATTAATCCAATGTGAGCAGAAAATTCCATTTTACTGAGAGTTCGATGTTGTTTTTCACGAGTTAAGACCAGCAGATTTAAAGTATTGCCAACTAATCCAAAAGAACAAACAACAGGTATGGCTATCTCCATAAAGATATAACGAATCATTTCAGCATGTTCTTTTTCTGGTGAAACAGTTGTGTTATACGGTGAACTTGATTCATCTGTACTGTTGAGATTTGGACAAACCATGTTGACCTGAAAATAAACATGAACAACAGATTAGATATACACCAACATGGAAATTCCTTGAACAACAAACAATAACATAAATACAACAATAAAAATAATATAATCCCACAGTAAAGTTCTTGGAATGTTAATTGTTTCCAGGGAAAAATTTGTTTGATTTTTGAAAGTATCTGTGACTTTGAATTAATAATTCATGACTGTGTGAATCAGGTGCAAAAAAATAACACATTAAACATCATTTGATTTATATTCACCATATGGATCGTAAATTATGTCTACAACTTTAACATGTTTCATGAGGACTAAATAACTCTCTAAGCAAAATCTTCCTGAATTCATGAAATGTAGAGAGAATATTTGAGTCACCCATGTCCATCCACAATTGCTTCTAAACAGTGTAGAAGGCACAATTCTTGATGGATTTTGACGAACTTGGTGTGAGTGAGTGTTATCACACAAGGATGAACCCCATTAAAAATCAGAAGAATCGTAAAATATTTAGTTTGAGTTATTGCCCTTGTTCTTGAAAACACATTCAATTCTTAGTTTGTAAACAATCTAGAAAGCACAATTCTTGAAAGCTTTTACCAAACTTGAAATTGTTTATGAACCCTATTGAAAATTAAAATATTGCTAAATATTTTAAAATATTTTATATGAATTATTGCCACCTTTTTTGAGAACACATTCAAATTTTAGCTTGTCAAAAACTCTTAGGCATGATTCTTGCCAGATTTTGACAAAACTTGGAATATTTCATACTGGTGTTTGTTACTGTATTGCCAAAATTTTTTATTTAAAATCAAAACTGCCTGGAGAGCTTTCTTTATTTATAAAATGAAATTATTGATTCTCTTTGCAAGATGTTATTACAGTAAAACTTTAATGGAAATGATGTATTTGATGATAAAGTTAGAGAATTACTGGGTATTGTCATGAAAATACATAAAGATCATTTGAGTCATTATATGGGTTTATTTTGATCCATGAAAAGGATTACTAATGTAGTGGAGAAAGAAATGACTTCCTTTAAAATACCCTTTCATAGGTATAGATGGCTCACCTCGATTACTTTTGACATTAATATTATGTTTAGTGCCAAACATACCTACTAAACTACATGTATGGTTCTTACATGGAAGTTTCCCCCTGTCAGTGATGCAGGTACGAGGGGCTGATATGGAAAAAGCGTCTAGTCGTTCGGATGGGACAATAAACCGAGGCCCCGTGTGCTACAGGCTGTGCACGTTAAAGATCCCTCGACAGTTGGAAATCGAAAAAGAGCAGGCTAATGCGACTGTCCTGGCAAAATTTCCCTCATTGCACACTGCATGGCCTTGCCCGTCTTCATTAGCCCACATGGTGCAGAAAAGTAGGACGTAAAACTCAATTCATTTCATTTCATTTCTTACGTGGAAATAACACACACAAACCATTTTGATTCTCTTGATTCTATAATATTTCAACCAAGCCTTCAAAATCACATTTCTAGCCATTTCTAAACCTTTCGATATAATTTGAAGGCTTTGTTGAAATATTCGTCCTTTTTAATAATTTGACTTATTAAGTCGAGGAAGACATTCAAAATGGCTGTAAATTACGTTGGTGTGCGTTATTTCCATGTAAGAACCATACATAGTTGCGTACGGCCAAGCACACAACATCAGTGTGAATCCACACAAGTTCTCCAGAAACAAAAACTACATACGGGGAAACAGGCCATAAATCTTCACTATCCAGTCAGCCTTAATCTGACATGCAATGAAATAATTGGAATAAAACTATCTGAATTATATTGAGTCACATTAAGATAATTAGATATCATGCTATTTCTTGTTGATAGAAAAATGGTCATATCAAATTAACTTGTACACATTTTATATAACATGGAAAAAATCACTTGACAGAATTGAAAACAAATTTCCTATTTCCCTGCTGTTCAACAAAACATCTACTTCTCACTTTCAGGATGTATTTGGTGATATTTTTGCCATTGTAGACATTATCAATGTCCTCGATCATAACTACCTGTAACAACTTTTAAAATGACCTGGAGGTGATGTCCATCAGGCGTTGCAGGAGATCCAGACGTCACAATTTTGATTTTGAAAAGTAATACTACAACTTAATTTGACTTTAATTATACAATATTTGTCAGTGATGCAAGTAAGAGGGCCGATATGGAAAAGCGTCTTCATTGTAGCCCACATAGTGCAGAAAAATAGGACGTAAAATTCCATTCATTTCATTTCATTTGTTGACAGATCAACATGGATTCAAAAGAGTGATTTTACTTCATGATTGTTGTTAATTGCAGACAAATCCTGTGTTAGATTTTCATAATGTAAAGTACTACAAATGGTTAAGATTGATATGCTTACCAAGTGCTAACTCAAATGATTAGATGTTAATTAGTATATCACTGAAATTTCGAAAAAAATCAATGTTTTCTACCTGTTTAGATTTCAGAACTTTTGATTAACAAATATATTAATAAAATCCAGGCTCTTTATTTGATTTTATCAAATGTGTACAGGTTTTATAGTCTCTATGTCATTCACAAGAGCTTTGGGTGTTACCATAAAGGTGTTAAGTAATAAAAGATACAATCTTTTATAAATTAAGTTATGACTTGCATATTTTTACATATCTCTAGTTATGCTTTATCTATTACATATCTGATTTCATTTGAGTTGGGTGAATATGATGTTGATGTAACTTATCAAGTTTACAGTTGGAATGTGGATGTCAATCCCAATGCATTGATTTAGAAAAAATTCAAATTTTCAGCTTGACTTTTGGTACTTGAAAAGATCTTGCTCTTCACCAATTGAAATTAAGAATGAACTTATGAACTTTAACTATAGTGACTTTGAAGTAAGGCTCAAACTGTGAAGTTTATATTGGAGAATGGACAAACATCAGTGGATCAGACTTGTCTTGAGACTTCAGAATGACTTTAGTCAGCATTGTCCATCAGCAAGAATGTTTGTAGAATGACCTTGGTCTGTCTTGTCCATCAGACATGTAGTTTGGAGAATGACCTTGGTCATTGGCTTGTTGGTAAGAATTGAAAAGCACCACCATAAAGATCATAAGCTCATATATTGGATTGCTTTTTGCAAACATCCATCATGAATTAAGGCAATCAATTGTCTGACAATCTATTCTGGTAGCAACTACAGTCAAACTTGTACTAACTGTCACTTGTATTCAGGTCCAATCTCCAATGAACAGCCGCCAAAAATACTCTATAGTACTCTAGACAGTTGCATTATTTCATCAAGTCAAGTACTATTATTATAATTTGATAAATAATTGAATTGTCACTGGACTTTGGCATATCTGGGTGAAGTATTGACCTGTCTTGGTATTAATCGTCTAGCTTTAGATGAATTAATCAATAGTACCTCCTAACAATTCAAAGAAACTCTAAAACAGCATTATAATCCATTGTGGCATATCTATTTTTATAATCTACTATTATCTTCCTAATGTTTTTTTTCTGCCATAATTTTAAAGATTTTAAAAGATTAGTCTCCTACAATAAAGGTTGTAGTTCTGAACTGTGATAGGTTACAGCTAAGTTCCTAACATGAATGTTTTGGTAATTATTGTAATGCATGAAGTTTCTTAATTGTAATAGGTTATAGACAAAAACCTGTCTTGAAAGTTGTAATCCTTAAATGTAACACACAGGTTATATTGCTAAACTGCAAAATATAAAGATTATTATACATGGAGATCATAATCCTTAATTGTAATACAAGAAGGTTACAGGCCTTGAAGGTTATAGTCCTTAATTGTAATACATGGAGGTTATAGTCCTTGATTGTATTACATGAAGGTTATACTCCTTAAATGTAATACATGAAGGTTATAGTCCTCAATCTTAATACATGAAGGTTATAGTCCTTAATTGTAATACATGAATGTTATAGTCCTTAATTGTAATACATACAGGTTATAGTCTTTAATTGTAATACATATAGGTTATAGTCCTTAATTGTAATATATGAAGGTTATAGCCCTTAATCTGAATACATGAAGGTTACAGTCTTTATCTATGACATGAAAGTTTATAGTCTTTAACAGGAAAGGGTAAAACATGGAGGTTGTTGAGTGTGATACATGTAGTTCATAATCATTATCTGAAATAGGTTATATTATTAATTAAGTTATAACTGTAATAGGTTATAAACTCATAGGTTGTTGTGATTTTATAATGAGGTTGACTGTTTAAGGTTCTAATTTCAAATGTGCCAATTTTATATTCCTTTTCTTTTGTATATATTATATGATTGGATAAAATATGAGTTCATCTAACTTGTCATTAGGACTGGTAGCCTGAAGGTCCAGGCCTTACCGGCATAGGTTTAGATGATACATTTGTATTATTCAACTTGGTTTCCCCTTGTCAGTGATGCAAATCAAAAAAAGGAATGTTGAGTCATTTATCATTAATTGGGACAATAAGCAGAGTACTCTTGTACTACAGTCTCTGCACATTAATGATCCATGACAGTTGGAAATCCAAGAGTAGGCTATTGTTGCTGTACTGACAAAATTTGATTCATTGCACACTGTATGACGTTGCCTTGTCATCAGCCCAAACAAGTGCAGAAGAACTAGCAGAACTACAATTATTTCATTTTATTTTCTAAAAGTGTTATGAACGACTAAAACAATGTTGCTTATATTTAATAGCAATAACAGTTAATACAATAGTAGCCTTGAATGGCATCTTCAATAATTGGTTCTCCTTAAGATATCTTGTTTTAATCCATACTTAAGCCTCTTGATTCTTGTTAAATGTCATGGGTGGAGTTTTCCTTTTTCATAGTTGCTTGTATACTATAACAATTTGATTTTGTCTTTGAAACTTAAGGAAATGTTAGATACATGACATGACATACAGTGTTTGCAGTATGCAATTAAGCAAACAACATTTATTGTGTATTGATTTAAAATTCTTTTTGTTAGATGGTGATAAAAACCTGAACTAGCACTGGTCCAGTTTACAAGTTAAAGATATATGATACAAAAAGGGACAACTTGTAGGTTAATTAGATAATGAAAGACTGATCTTTTAGTATCATATTATAGAAATATTATTTTCTAATGTTACGTCTACTTCTAAATGTCATTTAAAGAGTGTATCATGGTGAAATTTCTTCTTCTGGTATGCCAATGATAAATCCTGAAATCATTGAACCAAATGGGGGAGCTTTAAGTGAAATATCTATTGCATTCAAAAATTGTTCTATCTGATGCCATACATTGTGAAAATGTGCAATCAAATTTCCAAAGGATCTTTAGCATAAATAAACTAATTCTTAACCATAAAACGAAACCCGAAATCCAATACAATATATTGGTGGAACATTGGTAGAAGCTTTTCACATGTATAAGTATTTTAATCATGAGTAAGTATTTCATAATGAAAAGTTCTATCAGGTGTCTAAAAGAATAAGCATACCCTGCCTGATGCCACACCCACCATTGCTGTTGAACATGGGATCTATTTCTTTCTAAACAAATGCCAATATATCAACATTGGCCAGGATTGAATAGTATACCATTATGGCTCCAAGAAACAGAAGAGAACATGATTTCCATGGAAGCACCCACTGTGTAATAAGCTTATCATAGAGTGTATAATAAGTTAATTATAGCTATCAAACTAGAGAGGTTCTTCACCAGGTCATATTGCTATCAAAATCAATACCATTTATCTCCAAACTATCTTTAAATCAATACACTGTTTCTTCATGTCTTTATCTAAAACAATTAGATATGTCAGTCATGCATGTATTGGGGCACAGGTTGATCTAAGAAATCTTGAGTGCTTCAGTCAGATTGCTCAATTCAATTAAGTAATTCGTTCAAGTTCACATTAGGAAAAGTGGATCTAAAGCACAGACTGTGGTTAACCACTGCTTCAAAGTATTGCAGAAGGTCTGAAGCAGCTGACTCGAGTTACATACTTTGACTATCTGTCAAGGTTCCACTGCTCAGAAAGTAGAACATTATATATTTCAAACTTCTAAATCCAGCAATTTAATTGGTCCCCAAAATTGATCATATTCACCAGAAATACAATCAGTTGCTGGTATTCATTGGAACTGCCAGTCATAAGGTCTACCTTGAGACTGCTTTTTAAAAACATTTTAGTTTTGCTTTTAGTTACCTATTGATTAGGCTCAATTCAGGAAAGTGACATTAAAAGATTGAGAAATGAAGACAAAAAGACTAATGGTTTGATGTAAGTCTGAAATATAAGAGGTGTTACTGAATACTGAAACTAAGTTTTATCAATGATTAAAGAAAAACTATTAAGAGACTGTAAACTGGGAAATTTTGTCAGAATTTCCATCAGTGCTAAAAATAAGGCTAAAATGAAGCTAATAAGAGTTGCAATTCTGTTAAATGATTTGAAACAAATTAGCATTTTTTCTTTTCTTCTGTCAAATCAAGTCCTTTGTGAATGAAAATT